GTGCACACAGACCTGTAGGTGCAGGTGTGTACATGTACATCTACTCCCTGCTGGCATAGGAAGTGGAGATGTGCAGACGCCTGGATCGTGTGCTGTATTGGTGACACCACACTCAGAAGTGTTCTGAACACCCAGGTGTGTCCAGGAGGTCACCAGGGTTCAAGTAGAGCCCTGCAGAAAGGATCCTTGCTGGGCGTTGAGCACCTCCAGCAATGCAGCATGTCCCAAAAACCAGCAGAGAGGAGCAAAAGCATGCAGGGCACCCTAGCCTCCAACCAGTCCCAGCCTCATTACCCAGGAAGCTGCTTCATTAGAAAGAAGAAATGTTTGACAACGAGGGCAGCAAGGACTGGAATCAGTTGCCCAGAGGAGTTGTGGATGTCCCATCCCTGGAGGTGTTCAAAGTTGGTTGGATGGGGTTTTGGGCAACCTGATCTGGTGAGAGGAGTTCCTGCCTGTGGTAGGGGTTGGAATTAGATGGGCTTTAAGGTCCCTTCCAACCCAAACCATGCTGCGATCCTGCGATGGGGGTCAGGAGTTGGATCAGAATGACTTTAAGGTCTCTTCCAACAGAAACCATGCATCCATGCTGGATGCAACCACCCGTTACTTGCTCCCATAGCTTTTCCCACACCATGGTTAATTCATTCACCTCAGCCCTATGAGTTGGTGCAGCCCTCAAAGCACCATCTAGAGCAGGGCTGTGCCTTTCGTACAGCTCCAGTAATTACATTTATTTGCCTGCTCAGGCTCATTTATCACTGGGATCCCCCTTTGCCAAAACCTGCTCAGCACAAGAGATGACCCCGTAGTATGGCATTCGGTTTTAATCCAGCCGCTGCCCACAGTGACCAACAGCTCCTGATTTTGGAGATTTATATGAACTCTAAAACTGGAAAGGGTGCTGGGTAATTTCAAGAAGCCAAAAAGAAGAAATGCAGCCCTTCAATTATAGGAAGCAGTGAGCTGAGCTCTGTTCTTGCCAGAGCTCCTGTTTGCTTTTATCTGGGACCCAAAAATGTTTTCAGCATCCACGTTGCATTGGTCCCACCACCTGTGGGGCTGCTGGGTGGAACCTGGGATTCACTGGGTATCCAAACTCCAAGCTTTGTCCTGGAGCCCAGGAGCTGGATGTGAAGTGGTGCTCAGGTTGGGTTGGGACCTTGGTGCCAGTATGGGGATGCTGGGGCTTTCAGGCTGGTTTGGGGATGGTGCCAGTAGAAATAACCACAAATCTCACAGTCTAACTTAAGTCCTCCATCTGTTTGGGGCTGTTGCAGCTGATGGCAACCAGATCCTACAAAGGGTCATCAAGTTTGACTCTTATTTTCTGTATGGGTTCTGGAAATGGGAAAGAATGGCTGTCACTAAAACAGAGAAGTGCTGAAATATGACACTGCCAGGACTGATGGGCTGGAGGGGGTTCTCCAACCCCTTTTACTTTGGATTCCCTGATGGGACTTCACGTGAATTTTACTTTTGGATGAATCTTGGAATCACTGAGGTTGGAGAAGACCCCAGGATACTTAGTAGTGTGTGTAGGGTCCCCGCAAGCTCAGCGTGCCAGGGAGATGGTAGCTGTTAATAAGGGCAAATGCTGGTGCACCCAAGGATTTTATTCCAAGTGTTGATACTTGGAAAATCCTGTTAGTATTGGAGAGCTCCAGGCTAGAGGCCACCCATGTCACCTCAATCCCTGAAGTGTTATTGACACGACCAAACGCCGTCCTCCTTCCCAGCAGCAGCCCACAACGCCCCCTCCCATCCTCGCTCTGAGCATCCTTCCAGTCAGCGTGACCCTGTTTGCATCCTTCCTCGCACAAAAGCATCACCTTGGAAACCTCTGCCCTCATCTACCTTGCCTAGATCTAAGCAAAATCACCTTTTTTTTTTTTTTTTTTTTTTTTTTTGGAGAGGGGGAAGGGAGTGCTCAGTTTTGGGTGGAGAATCCTATTATGAGCCATTTTCCTGGCTCAGCCTCGCTGTCCCAGGGCAGGATTTGTCCCAGAGGCAACGCCGCTCCCCGTCAGCTGGCAATATTTCCATTGAACTGCTCCCCTCCCACCGCACCCCTGGGCCTGCCGTCCATCATCCCCATGAGAAATCTGATGATTCCCCTGCAGGGAGGCAGCGGTGGGTGCTCAGCACCGGGGCAGAGCGATGGAGGTGAAGCCCCACCTTCCAGCCGCAGGGAGAAGAGCTGGGTGCGAAGGCGGGTGGTTAATCACACCTTGTGCCGGAGACAAGATGTTCAGCGGGGAGGCGTGCTTAGGGAAATATTTGCCTTTTTGGTTTTTACATCCTCCAGCCCTTCAACATGATCCCAGCATTCACTCTGAGCCTCTGAGGATGGAGTGAGTGGGTCTGTGCTGGGAGAGTTTTCCACCGCTGTTCCCCCCATTCCCTGTTGGTGGATAAGTCATGGGAAGGGGGGAAAGGACCTTTCCAAGGCAGCAGTGGCGTGGGAGCATTCCTGTTGATGCAGAACATCCCCAGTCTGGAGCTGTGCAAATCAGTGTATCTGACAGAAAGGAGCTGTTCTGCTTTGACAGATGAGAGTAATCTCACATGCACATCTTAATTGCTTCATTAGGAAGGTGCAAATAAACCAGGGGCAAAAAGGGCTGCAGATGTGGGGCTGGTGGATGGAGGAGGGAGAGCAGCCAGCTCATCCTGGCTGCAGGGATTGGGAAAGAGCAGTGGGAAGGAAAAGAAGCAGCAGAGCCAAAGTGTCAGTCCCTTGAGTGCTGAGCACCACAGACACTGGAGTTGGCATGGAAAAGGAACAGGGATGAGCAGAGCAACTTGAATCCTGCTGGCTGCCTCACCTGCAGCTGGATGGGGTGGCTGGGACACTCAGCACACTAGGTGTGGTCCATATCCCTTTGGGATGCTTTGCTGGATGCTTCTGAGGTGACAAGGATGCTCAGTGTCCTGAATGTGGGTCCAGAACCCACTGGGATGTTTAGCTGGATGGTTAGATTATTCAGATACAGAGCTTCTGCCTGCAGGGACTGAGCATTGAGGATGCTGTTCTCCATGAGGAATGGGGTGGTTGCATTTGGGATGAGTTTGAGTAGTCCTGTGGGTGTGCATCAGAGGTTATTCTGAAAGCAGAATAGCTATTCTTTCAGATTGGGGCATTTCTTTCAAACGTGGGCATTACTTTCTAAGTAGCTCCATGTACCTGCTCCTACACGATGGAAGTGTGACCAATGTAGAATCACAAGGTTGGAAAAGACCTCTGAGATCCCCAAGCTCAACCCCAGCCCACCTCCACCATGCCCACTGACCATGTTCCCAAGTGCCACATCTCCATGGTTCTGGAACACCTCCAGGGAAAGGAACTCCCAATACCTCCCTGTTTAGCTTGTGCCAGTGCCTGACCACTCTTTGGAGAAAAACTCCAACCTGAGAGCAGCATCTTGCAGGACCCTTACATGAGAAAATAGGTTTGTTTGGTTTTGTTGGTTTTTTTTTTTCACCTGAAAGAAGTGAATAAGTTTGAAGCATTCCCATAAATACAGTGTTTCAAGATGTCATCCTCAGCCTGCTCAGAACATGGCTACGTTAGGTGCCCTTCACCTTTCCTCCTTCCCAAGTTTATTTTATCTGCGCTGTCATTTGCTTTGAAAAAGTGGGATATTCTGCGTAACTCCATGAGGTCGGTTCAGGATTCGTGTGGGGGAGTGACATCTGTCCTCAGACACTGGGGCTGCGGATGCTGGTTTTGTGCCTGGGATTTCTAAGGACCCCACCCTGTGCTTGGGAGGAGGCAGAGGAGGCAGCTGGAGGAAGGCTCTGCTTCCATCCAGCCCAGCTGTCCTTTCCCAGGCATGGGAACCACAAGGGCACTTCTCAGCCTGAATGCCCAAGGGGAAAAATGCCCTCTCTGCAAATGTATGTAAACGAATTGCCAGGGTTGTCTTGCTTCCTACCCACCCCCAAACTATCCAAATGAGATAAAATCACCTTCAATTTTCTGGCATCCTGTGAAGTTATTGGCTTTCCTGAGTGCTTTGCTTAACAGAACCACATCACGAGAGGACCAGGAGGGGAAAACAAAGGAAAATGAGTCCATTTACACCAGTGGGAGCTGTGCGTTGTTTTAGAATCATAGCATCACAGAATCATGAAGGTTGGAAATAACCCCTAAGATCACTAAGTTTAACCTCAGCCCATCCCCACTGTGCCCACTGACCACGTGTAGGCACAACAGCTGCCCTTTTCAATTTCTGCTAAACACGGGGAGTCATAACAGTGTTCCCCCATCTTCCAATTCCAGTTCGCTTGCTCTCTTACTGATGATGCCTGAATTGGAGGGGATGGACCCAAGTGTCTGGGGAGAAGCAAGGATTCCTCTGCAAACAATTGTCAGGGTGGTCTGATGTCTTGTTTTTGGTATCTTCTGCACTCAGACCGTGACCTGGCGATTTACAATTAACAAAGACTGACATGAAGATGCATTTCTTCACGTGACAACCTTTTCGTGCTAATTCTTCTTCCAAACAAAAAATGAAAATGACTAAGACCACAACAGACATTTAATTTCTCTTACTGCTTGCATCATGGAATCATTAAGGTTGGAGAAGACCTCTAAGATCCCCAAGTCCAACCACAGCCCACCCCCACCATGCCCACTGACCACGTCTCATTTTAGGATATCCTAAGAAGGAAGGTGTCTCCTCCTTCCTGGCTCAGGGACTGTTTATGATCATGCACTCACCTTGGAGAACACATGAGATTTTCAGATTATGGGCAGTTTAAAAGGAGATTTTCTACAGAGCTGGCGTAGCTGGTTAACATGGTGAATCCCAGCATGCTGTAATGAATCAATTTGTTTCAGACAACAGCCATAATTAGCACGGAGCTGATGCTCAGGCTGGGGGATGCAAAGCTGCACCTTCAATCCTTGGCCACAACCTGCAGACCTGTGGCACCTGGTCCCGTGCCAAGGAGTCCAAGGACGGGATTGGAGCAATCACAGCTCCTGGGTGAAGATAGTCCCCAAAGCATTGTGTGGATGGGAAGGCACTCCCTGCGCAGTCCCGTTTTGGAGGTGTAGGTGCCAACACTCAACAGTGTGAAGCAATGCAGCATCACCCTTTCCCCACACAGCAGATCCAGTGTGTGCCTGGAAAGATGTTGGCTGTGGGAGGATGTGGAGGAAACACGATGGGGAGGGACTCATTGCACAAAGTTCCTGAGGGAAGGGTGTGCAAGAGGAGCATGTGGTGGTTATGAAAGGTGGAGTGGGTGGGGACCAAGGAGGAAGAGACAGGAAGTAAGGGAGAGGGAAGCAGAATTAAACCCCAGAGCATGTGGAAGGGTTTAAAATGGAAGCAGTTGATGGTGGAGGTGTGAGTGGGGCAGTGGGGAGGAGGACACTATGGGGAGGCAGGGTTGTTTGGGAGTTACCGATTGGAAAACCCCTGCTCATGTCCTGCTGTCTGTGTTCTGTCCTGTCCTAGGGCACTAAATGAGAATATGGCCAATGGCATTGAAGATCTTATTGGGATCCCATTCCCAAACCACAGCAGCGAGGTCCTATGTGGTCTAAATGAACAGAGACACGATGGTCTCCTCTGCGATGTCATCCTCATCGTCCAGGACCAGGAGTACCGGACCCACCGCTCTGTCCTTGCTGCCTGCAGCAAGTACTTCAAAAAACTCTTCACTACCGGCACTTTAACTGACCAGCCCTATGTTTACGAGATTGACTTTGTCAAGCCTGAAGCACTTTCTGCTATCCTCGAGTTTGCCTACACCTCAACCCTCACCATCACCACCTCCAACGTCAAGCACATCCTCAGCGCTGCCAAGATGCTGGAGATCCAGTGCATCATTAACGTCTGCCTGGAAATCATGGAGCCCAGCAGAGGGGAGGAGGAGGAAGATGACAAAGAGGACGAAGATGACGACGAAGACGAAGATGAAGATGAGGAGGAAGAGGAGGAGGAGGAAGAAGAAGTGGAAGATTTTGTCAATCAGGAGAACCTGGCTGATGGCCAAGAAGTAAGCTGTCACCAAAGTCCTTCCAAGTCTGATCTTACTGAAGAAGCATTTACTGAAGCACCTAAAGACTTTCCAAATCACTACCCGGCCAACAACTCCTCTGGGCACCTGGGCGTGATACGAGACTTTTCCATCGAGTCCTTGCTGAGGGAAAACTTGTACCCCAAGGCAAACATCCCAGAAAGGAGGCCTGCCCTCTCTCCTTTTGCCCCTCCCTTCTTCCCCCATCTGTGGAATGGTGATTTTAGCAGCTTTCCCCAACTCGAAGAACCGCAGATTGACAATGGCCCCTTGGATCTGGTGATCAAAAAGAGGAAGATCAAGGAAGAGGAGGAGAAGGAAGAGCTGCCTCCGCCTCCTTTCCCTAATGACTTCTTCAAGGACATGTTTACCAACACCCCAGCAGCTCCCTTAGGGCACATTAAGGCAGAGACCGACTACAGCGCTTATCTCAATTTCCTCAGCGCTACCCAATTCGCAGGAGTTTTTCCTCCATGGCCCCTGGAGGAAGAGAGGAAGATAAAGCCCAAGGCATCCCAGCAGTGTCCCATCTGCAACAAAGTCATCATGGGGGCTGGGAAGCTGCCCCGACACATGAGGACCCACACAGGGGAGAAGCCGTATATGTGCAGTATCTGTGAGGTCCGCTTTACCAGGTGTGCATCCGGCGTGCTGGGGGGTGGGGAGGGCTGGCTCTGGAGCTGTTTGTCCCTTTTGTCCCCAGAAAAATAGCAGAGGGGAGGTCCCCATCCCTTTCAGAAAGAGGAAGGGAGAAGAGAGAAAGAGAGAAAATGAACTCACCCATTTTGGTGAGCTGTAGATCGTAGCTGCTCAGAGGACAAAACTTAAGGAACCAATGAGATATTTTCAATCTCATCGTCATTTAGCACAATGGGAGAGGAGGGAGCTGGGAAACAGATGGCAGCTTGTGGCTGGAGAGCCAAGAGAGCTTCATCCCTACCATGCTGGGAGATGCGTTGAGTGGGAAAGGCACTGAGTGGAGGGAAGTCATTAGTTTGGGTTTGTGCATCATTTTGGTATAGCTGTAGGCACCAATCAAATTGCACTTGTTTGATCATGACAGCGTCTGTGCTTTCTGAGGCTGGAGCAGTCCTAATGATTACATTTTGGTTTGCAAGGGTTGGATTCATTGCCTCTGCCATCGGAACCCCCTGACGCCTCTGCATCAGCCTATATGGCTTGGGTACCTCACATTGGGTGAGACCAGCCCCAAAGCCAGGCTGCCCACAGATAGGCACCACTGCACCTCTCTGCACGCCAGCAGAGCCCTCAGAAGTGAAAAACTGGAGCAGGCTCCAGTAGAGCTATGCACATGTCATGCTGCAGCTTGCTCTGAAAGTCTGGGCACATTTAACTGTAGAGCAGAGACAAATAGATTCCTGGACCTGCTCTTGCTGGGTATAATTAATATCTAATGAGTACAATCTTTACCATAATAATAACAAAGCTTTCTGACAGGGGGATGGAGCTTCAGCTCCTGGCTGTGAGCCCCATTAGGCTGAGCCAGAGGACAATAATACTCACAGTGGGCAAAGCAGAGATGGTGACAATGGCCAGGCCCCCGGGGTGCTTCGTGTTCAGCCTCTTTTCTTCTCTCGGCTCTGTGATAACATTTGAGCAGAATTTATGTAGATGATGAGCAAAACTATGTTTCCACGCTCCCCAAAATAAGTTTCTGCGCTCCTTTCCATCAGTGTGGCAGCCTCTGCGTTACGATGCATTGACACCGTTCACATAATGGGGATAATCTGGAGGCTGTAGTGTACAGCTCCCCAAATCTGATAGGAATGACAGCTGTATTGTTGGCTTCGGCTGGGGAAACTGAGGCACAGAGTGATGTTAGCACTATGAAAATGTCTAGGAAGGCTCAGAGGAGAGCTTGGGTATCCCGATCTCTGGTCCAGGCTGTGTTAGAAGGGCTGGGTCAGCATCATGGAGGGGGAGTACTGTGGGTTGGTTTTCTGGATGAATCCCTCCTGTGCATCCTTTCTGCACTTGTGAACTGTGCAGAAGCAGAATTATAGAGAGAGATACAGAAAATGAGGTTTTTGGTTGGGGCTCCCCCAAACTCCCCACTGTATGCAATCACCATCACTTCGTGCATCTTCACAGCCAGGGTCTGCCTCTTTCACTCCTCTCTCCCAGGGCCATGCGTCCTCAGGACTTCATTTAATAGCTCATTAATTGTTTCAACAAATACTGCTGTGGTTCTGGTCTGCTGTGGTGCACGGCTCGAGCCCTATGGAGAACACTGCAAAAAGTTCAGCCTTCCCACCAGGACAGCCCCAGAGGGCTCAAGGAGAAACTATTACAGCCAGAAAGGTTAATGTTATTTGTTCACATTATTTGTGCTGTGACAGCTTGCAGAGCCTTCATCGCTTTCCTAATGCAATTGCACTGAGGATGTTCACACAGAGAGGGTGTGTTTCTCCCTCTGCTTTATTCAGCATCCTCCACTGCACCCCACAGCTGCCCCAAATGCAGCACCCAGCTGAGAAGAGCACCCACTGTGGTCGTCACCCAGGTGACCTCTCATATGCAGGACTTACAGCCCTGGCATGCCGTGTGTTTATTAGGAACAGCAATTCTGTGAGGTTAAACGTGGCATACATGGGTTTAAATTCTATTATAGGTGAAGCTGGAAGCTCTGCTTTTCATTACCGTTTTCCAACACTTCCCATTATGTGACCCGGTGTCCATCTGCCTGCAGCTCCATTGAATGTTATCCATTTGGGCTGCAATTTTCTGTGCTGCTTTGTCTGCTTCTGAGAACTGATTTCAGCACTTTGGGAGACTGAGGGGAAATGCGGCTTCACTAAAATCTCAGAATAATGGCATCTTTGACAGTTTCTCATTTGGCTCTTGGGTTCTGGCCCCATGGAGCACTGGAGGTGTTTCTTTCTGCCTTCCAAAGTGCTGCATGAGCTGCAAACCTTGGGAAAGCATTGGGGCTGCTCCTTACAGGTGGTGACCAAGTGGCTTTGTTGCTGGGGACACCTCTTTGCATCCTTCATGAAGTCCTATATCTCTGCCTAAAGGCTTTCAGACCCCTCTAGGTGGGACTTTTGTGTCTGCAGAACCCACGGAGCCCCTGCCTAGGGTAGTCCCAGGTGTGATGTATGGGGCCATGGACTCAGCTTGTGCTTCCATTGCTCTCTTCCATCCATCCCCATCACCCAGGGGACCTCAGCAGCACCACTGAGGCGAGCAGGAGCACCCAGAAGAGATGCACATCCCCATGAGCAGAGCTTCAAGACCATGGGCTCTATGTCCCCTAAGCACAGCTGAGTGTGAGACACAAGCAGGGCTACAAGTGCTGGGTCTGTTCTGTCCTGTGCATGGAGCAGCATCAGCTTTCATGTAGACAGCAGGACTGGATCATCTTGCCAAAGATAGCAGAATGGCAGGAATCAGTATGTAGGCAGCAGAAAGTGGGTTCTGAGAGCTCAGCCTGCCAGCATCAATATATTTGGGCTTGTTTTTTCCTCTGTTGTCATCCTTATATCCTTTATGTACTAATGACACTGCTCCGTCTACTCTCCGCACTCTTCCTGATGTCTTGGAGGGATCGGACTGAAAGCATTCCCAAAATCAATGGAATTCTCCCACTTTGCTATTCACTTAGTTTCCATGTAGAAACCCCTCTCGTGTGTTGTGGCTCAGTTCACGTACAGCCAGTTTCTCTTATTACTGTGTGCCTCAGCTGTGAGTTTCGCAGTGTGCAGAAGGAAAAAATCACAAAATAAGGAAAAATAAATAAATAGCTTCTGGGCTGCCAGCTTGGGAAAATATCCTGGTAGCTCTCCGTTGTTGCTTAAAAATCAGGTGAGCTGTACAGATGGATGCCACGGGGATGGGTGCTGCAGCATCCCCTGTATCTGAAGCTTTTGTGAGCAGGTGCCATCGCGCAGAGCAGCGCGGTGCTGCCAGCCTCCAGCTACAAACCCGGGCTGCGGAGACATCTAGCGGCCAGATGTGGTCATCTATGCATGGAATTTATTCTAGGCAGATCCTGCGTGTGTTGAAGCATCCGCCAGGAAAAGTGTTGGATGCCTCATTCCCGGAGACACCCAAGTTCTTTCAGGGCAGAGCTGATGGAGCTGTGGGTGTTATGGTTCATTGCAGGGCAGTGGGATCGGGTGGCCTTTAAAGGTCCTTTCCAACACTGTGATCCTATGGTTCTGTGACAGAATCACAGAATGGCCAGGGTTGGAAGGGACCTCAAGGATCATGAATCTCCAGCCCCCCCTGCCACATGCAGGGCCACCAACCTCCACATTTAGTGCTGCCCACATCCCATCCTATCTGGCCTTGAACACCTCCAGGGACGGGGCATCCATCCGACAGAACCATGGAAAAGTTGGCTCGGAAAGGCTATAAAAGATTTCTTAGAAGCGTAAAACCAAATAAGTGGTTTGGGTTGAAGGGATCTTGTCACTGTTCATTGCAGGGAGTCGGATGAGATGACCTTTGAGGGCCCCTTCCAACTCAAGCAATGCTATGATTCTACGATTTTTTGCAATTTGTTTAGGGTGGGCTTGTCGGATTTTTCCCAACCTGAGCCACTCCGGGTTGGTCCACAGAATGCTGCAGTGCAGGGATGAGACCGAATTCTTTTCTTTTGCAGGCAGGACAAGCTCAAAATCCACATGCGGAAGCACACGGGAGAGCGACCCTACCTGTGCATCCACTGCAACGCCAAATTCGTCCACAACTACGACCTGAAGAACCACATGCGCATCCACACGGGCGTCCGGCCCTACCAGTGTGAGTTCTGCTACAAGAGCTTCACCCGCTCCGATCACCTCCACCGCCACGTCAAGCGGCAGAGCTGCCGGATGGCGCGGCCGCGCCGGGGCCGCAAGCCAGCAGCATGGCGGGCGGCGGGCTTGCTCTTCGGTCCCAGCGGCCCACCGGTGGAGAAGGCCTTCATGGTGCCGCCAGCGCTGGAGGAAGTAGGCGGCCTTCCCATGTGCCTTCCCGGCCCCAGCCCCGAGCACTTTCTGAGCGGGACGAAGGCGGCGTTCAGCCTGCAGGAGCTGGAGGACACCCAGAGGAAGCTGCTGCGGCGAGCACAGCTGGACATGGAGCGGAACGCGGGCATCTTCGCCTTCGCCCTCGGCCACGGCGACAACCTGGCGGCCCAACCCTTCTTCCCGCTGGCCGACCCGTGGGGCACGGGGTTCAACGGCCTGGCGGGGCTGGGCCACGTGGCACCCATCTCTGAGGCCACCAACTAGCCCACGGTGGGGCCGCTGCCTTCCTCCCCGCCAGACTCTGCCGCGCGCTCGGGGTTGGCTCACCCAATGTTGGTGGCTCCGTCCAAGGCTGCTGTTGTCCTCAACGCTCCCAAAATGTCACTTGCCTTAGCGTGGGGCATGGCCATCCCAGGGACTCTCTGTTTGGGGGACACTGGATGCCCATGAGCATTCTAGACTTGGGTTTGGTATGTTACATTCCTTGGCCGTTTGGGTCAAAAGGACTTTTGGGAGGTGTCGGTTGTTTTTTTTTTCTTTTGTTGTTGTTGTTGTTGTTTTTTGTGGTTTTGGTTTTTTTTTAGTTAATTCCTAACTCTGGCAACAAAACTAGTTCTGAAGGGGATCCTGGTTGGTTAGTCCTAAACCATCCAAAAAAAAAAAAAAAAAAAAAGGCTCTGGTATCACCCAGGTGGAATCTGGGTGGAAAAGGGGATATTTTGCTTATTTCTTTTTTTTTTTTTTTTTTTTTTCTCCCATTTCTCAATTTCACACTGAGAACCAAACCTCATTTTGAGCATTTTCACTTCAGTTGCTTAAAAAGGTGAAGAAAGATTTGTGGGAGAATCAGAAATGTTTTGAACCGGAGCTTTGGGAAAACAAACCACGAGGGAGTTCTGAAATGAAAATCATTTCAAACCAAAGATTCGGAATTGCTCACTGAGAATTCACCATTGCTGACCATGGATGTTTGTCCTCAATTCACTCTTCCATCTAATTCCTACCTATATGCGGATGACAAAACTCAAAAAAAAAAAAAAAAAAACGCTTGGGTGTCCCTGAATCTGCAATGCTGGTTGGAAAAAATTCCGATGCACAAATTTTCCTACTGCTGGCATCAAGGGGGCTTTGTGGGGAAGGGGCCACTGAAGATTTCTTGCAGACAGCGCTGTGTACTTGTCAGCAAGTAGAAATAATCTGTGTTCACCGTTTGTTGGTTCAGATCTAAATGTTAAAAAGTGTGGCTTTTCCTTTCCTTTGCTTCAACAAATGACAGGGGACGGGGGGATCGCCGTCCATCTCCATCCGGTCTTTGGTTTGCCCATGGATGGTTCTGCTCTGAAGCAGACGGGGGCGGTGGAGAAAAACATATGGAAAGAAGAAAGAAAACCTTTTAAAGCTGCATTAAACTTTTTTTTCTTTTAACTCTGTGTCAACTTCCTACATGGCAATGTTTTGTAGGGGACTGGTTCCTTCAGGTGTTTATTTTGGAGTCATTGTAAAATATCCAAAGATGCTGAGTACTGTATGATCTACAAGAACTTGAAGCACGTTGGGTTTTTTTTTTGTTTGTTTGTTTGTTTTGTTTTGTCCTGATTTGTGATTTTGCTTCCTTTCTTTCTTTCTTTCTTTCTTTCTTTTTTTTTCTATTTGTCTATGGGGAAAAACATTTGCAGTTTTTCTATTTATAACTATTTTTATGTGATTGCTTTATGTACAAAACAATGGGGAAAAAAAATGAAAAAAGATCAAAAAAAAAAAAAAAAAAAAAAAAAAAAAAAAAAAAAAAGGAGAGAGAAACACACACACCGATAAATTTGCCTTAGTTACTCACGGGACAATCACCCTTAACTTTCATCGAAGCTAGAAAGCAAATCAAAATTTTTAAAGAAGAAAGAATTTTACGTATTTATTAAACTCCATGAATCAATGCTGTTAAATCATTAGCAGGACTCAGTGCTCTTGCCTGTGGCCAAGCTGAGGAAGCTGAGCTGCCCCCCAACCTCGGCTCCACCTGTATAAATTTTTGGAAATCCAGAGCAATCACACGTTCTGAAGCACCCCACTGGATGGGGCTGCTGGCATAGCAATGCTGATGGTCACTAATGAGTTAATGTTGATTCTCCCGTGTTGCAATGGGTTGGGTTGTACAGAGCCAGGAATGTGTTTTGGGGCAGGTGGGTGGATGAGAGCAAACCCTATGGTGGTGGCACACGGTGACTCCAGACCACAGGTATTCTGGTGGGTGAGCACGTTTTGGAGCTGACATCTCATCCCATCCCAGCAGCAGAGCACTGTGGAAGGTGCCCAGGGAGCTGTGGATGCCACATTCCTGCAGTTGCTCGAGGCCACATTGGATGGGCTTTAACGTCCCTTCTGAACCAGCTGTTCAATGGTTCTATGGTTCTGTGGTCTTCGAGGTCCCTTCCAGCCCAAGCCATGCTGTGATTCTGTGACTCGATGCTGTAGGGCTCTATGCAGCTCACGGGGGTGGTGGTCCTTGGTCATCTTACCCCATGTCCAGCTGTGGCAGGTCCTGACAGTGGACACCGCTGTGAACCCATTATTCACATTGCAGCTAAGAAGCTGCAGAATTTCCAAGTTATTTTAATGCTGTTTTTTAAAAGAGGTGCAGAAGCCTGAAGGGTAAGTTGTGGGCGTCAGAAGTGGGACTCACTCCATGTCATTCAAATTCCACACTAGAGAACAGGCACCCTGTGCCTATTGAGACACCCCCGTGCTGATTAGGTATCTTCATCTTTAGGGAAGTGGTTAGTGGGCATGGGTTGGACTGGATGATCTTGAAGGTCTTTTCCAAATTCAGTGATTCCATGACTCTGCCTGCCAAGTGATTTCCATCCATTGGTTGCACAGAAGCAAGCAGGAGAGTGATTTCCCCGTTCAAGTTGGGGATGGACCACCTCCAGCATCATTATGGTGGTCTCTCTTCCATCTGCTCACGCGGTTTGGAAATCTAGCTTGGACTCACTGCACTACTTTTGCAGTGAGTTACAATGAAGCTCCTCACCACCAGTGACAATGCTGGTGTTTGGGCAGCCAGATGTTAGCCAGCCCATCTGGGGCAGGCCAGACAAACCCCACCACCTCCTCAAAGAGAGGTACAGTGCTAAGAAAACTCTGGTCTCACAAATCTGGCTTCGCAGCTCGCATGGTGCTGAGCATCCTCTCAATGCCTTCATCTTGGGGAGTGAAGTTTTCGTTTTATATTTTAAATCTTGTGGCTTTCAACCCAATCTTATATTCTGGTTTACTTATAATGTCAAAAAAAAAAAAAAAAGACTTGCAAGGGGAGGGTGAAATGAAAATGTGAAAATTGCTTGGAGGAGCTGTGCGCTAATCAGGCACATGGGAATTGCAGGAAGAAAACCGGCTTTGGGAGATGCTTGTTAGCAGCAACATATGGCTACACTCTGCTCTCGAGCAGCTGCTGTTATCTGCTGGAGCATCCAGAGCAAAAAGGAAAAGAAAAAGAAAGGAAGGAAGCGTGCACTTTGGGAAGCAAGAGGCAAATATACGGAGACCTTTTTGTTTTCGGGAATGCCTTGTGATCGGGTTTGTGGGGTCTGCTGTCACCTTTTGGCACAGCCTGCATTTCCTTGGGCTGCGTGTGACTTCCTTCCCAAGTGGAAAAATCAAATAGAGAAAAGGGAAAAAGACAAAAGCTCTTCCTGCAGAAGATGCCCCATGGCCCTGCTGCTCTCTGCCCCTTTGGCCCCAGGAGCCGTGCCACCCTGCTGGCTGGAGGGAACATACCTGTGGCGTGGAAATGCCTTTTTGTTCATAGTTCTCTTGTGTTGTACTGATGTTTCACACGACTTGCACTATGGGCTGTAGGCAGAATGCTGTCAGATCTCTTGTTCTCTCTTGTTTGGTCGCGACTCCCCTCGGCTAATGAAGCAGCAGACCTATAGATGTCCCTGTTGCACATTTTACACCCCTGGAGGAAAATAAAGTGTTACCGAAGCAGTGAGTGGCTCCGTGTCTTTCCTTTGTGCTGCCGTGGGGCTGGGACATGGGGAATGATGGCGTGGGATGGTGGCATTGCACGAGTGGCTACAGTGCCCTCAGGCGAAGCCCCGCAGGAAAACAGGGGTGCCCTGAGAGCAATTTGGGGTTTTTCTGTCCTCCTTGGTTTTGCTGTCCACGACCTGCCGACAGCTCAAAGCCACACTGCCCTCGTGTGGTGGCATGGGGACATCTCTGCCACCACAGCAGGGCTGAGGACATCGTCTGTCACCGGTTCCCGTAGGTTTGGGCTCATGGTTGTGTGGGGCAGATGCAATCCTCCACCGGGTCTTATTGCATCTACCAACCAAGGGCTTTCTGCACCCCAATTAACCACAACGAAATAACCTCGTATGGGCTCTGATTTGGGCAGGGCTTTTCCTGAATTAAAAGATTTACCTGCTTTCATTCTGGTGAAAAGATGTCATTGTTAGCTTGGTTTCCAGAGTTAACAGGACTGGGACTTCTCAGCAAGACCATCTTCTGCAATGTTTGCTGCAGTTTTGGCATCTTTTGTGAAACAGTTAAGGCTTATGGCAGGCACCTGAGCTCTCCAGAACCTGAGTTCACAGAATCACAGAATGGCCCAGGTTGGAAGGGACCTCAAGGATCATGAATCTCCCCTGCCACATGCAGGGCCACCAACCT